TATTGACATGATATTTACTTTTTGTTTACACCATGACAAGTTATAGAACAAGTTAGCATTTTGTTCCAGTAAAATGAATTTTTACCCGGTAGGGGACTATGTATTGCCATGCAATACTCTCAGAATGCTTGTTTAAGTTACTGTATACATTCATGCATGTCCTGATTTAATCAATATATGTGTATGAAAAAAAAAAAACAGTTTGAAGGTAAACTAATAATAACTTAATCCAATCAAATTGCGTAAGATTCAATAACAATGACCGGTCCACAACGAATAAAAATTTGTCAACCAAAAGGTTTGCTATAATTTCAAAAACATGTCGTTCTGTATTGCTATAGTTTTCGGATCTTTCATTTGCATATTTAAGGCAATAGAAAGTTTGGGCTTCAAAAGTCTACATAATAATTGACTTTATACAGAAAATACACCCTTTTAAAACATTTAATGTTTCACAAATAATACATGGATACAAAGTAAAATCATTTCTTAAAACACTGCAAAAAAAATCATATTGATTGGTATAGTGGTATTGTTATAAAGTGCGTTGAAATGAACCTTGGTATAGCAAACGTCGAATTCCCTCACAAAATGTTATCACACACAATAGCATGAAATCATTTTGCATTTTACGATTCAGTGTCTAATCTGCTGAAGACAATTTCAAGCATGCATATTACATGTAAATAAAGCACTTGTCAATTGCATGTTTAACACGTGAAAAATTACTGCATTTTTCTACATAAATTAAATTAAGTTTTAATTTTTATACGACCGCAAAAAAATTTTGAGGTCGTATATTGGTATGACGTTGGCGTCGTCGTCGTCGTCGTCGTCGTCGTCCGGCGTCGTCGTCCGAATACACAATGGTTTTCGCACTCTAACTTTAGTTTAAGTGAATGGATCTCTATGAAATTTTACCATAAGGTTCAATACCACAATAGGAAGGTGGGGATTGATTTTGGGGGTTATGGTACCAACAGTTAAGGAATTAGGGGCCAAAAAGGGGCCGAAAATAAGCATTTTTGTAACTTCCAGACATAACTTGTGTGTTAGCATATGGATCTCTTTGACATTGTACCACAAGATTCCATATCACAAAGGGTCAATGCTGGGATTGATTTTGGGGTTAATTGCCTCAAAATTTTAGGAATAAGGGGCCAAAAGGGGGCAAAAAACAAGCATTTTTCTAGTTTCATGACAATAACTTGTGTGTAAGTGTATGGATCTTTCTGAAATTTTACTACAAGGTTCCATTTCACAAAGGGAAAGCTGGAATTGAGTGTTGTGGTAATTGCCCAAAACGTCTAGTAATAAGGGGCCTAAAAGGGGGTTTAAAATAAGCATTTTTTAGTTTCTAGACAATAACTTGTGTTCAAGTGTATGGATCTCTCTAAAATTGTATTACAAGGTACCATACCACAAAGGCAAGGCTGTTATTGAGCTTGGTTTGGGGGGAAAGGGGGGTGGGGGTGATGAATCATAAGGGGGGCGGGGGTCAAAAAAGGGGTAATTTTTTTTTTTCCTTTTTTTTTGTTTAAAATTTACATTTTAAGTTAGTTATTTTTTATCACGAAGAGAAAGTAGGAATTGAGTTTTGGGGTTAATTGCTCAAACATTTATGAATAAGGGGCCAAATATTGGTCGAAAATAAGGATTTTTTTAGTTTGCAACAAAAACTTGTGTTCAAGTGTATGGATCTCTGTGAAATTGTATTGCAATGTACCATACCACAAATTGAAGGTTGTGATTGAGGTGGGGGATGATGAATCAAAAGGGGGTTGAAAAAATGTGTGGGGGGTAGGATTTTTTTTTTTCCTTTTTTTTTTCTTTAAAATTTTCCATTTAAAGATGGTTGTTTCAGATTTATATATGAAAGAAAATAATAATGATATGGTTATATATCATGAGGAATTGAAATTTAAAATTATGTATATTGGAAATTTAGGTTACATTGGAAAGTAATAATTGGCTTTAGGGGGGGGGGGGGGGGGGGTGGTTATGGCTCTAATGTTTAAGGAATAAGGGGAAAAAAGGTTAAAAAACAAGGGTTTCCATTTTAATAGACAAATAATTGAGTAAAGAACATTATTTAAAAGCAGTGTAAGGTTGGTAATTCAAACTCATTTAAATATCTCATCTACACTGCTTTTAAATTATGTAAATTGGAAATTTGCCAATAACTTTATTGTTAATAAATGCATTGGAAATTTGCCAACAATTTTAGTGTAATAAACTTCATTGGAAATTTGCCAATATAAAATTTTGCTGATGAAGGTTTTTTGTTTACCTTTAGCCTTGACTATGAAGTCATTTTCTATTTTTATAGCCTTATGATGTAGTTGAATTATTTAATACTTTTATGATGTGTTTAAATGGGGTTTTATCATGTTTATGGTTGCAAATTTATTATTTTAGTATAATAAACTCCATTTAAAATTTGCCAATAAAAAAAATTTTTGTTTATTTTTAGCTATGATTATGATGTCATTTTCTATTTTACTTTTATGGTTGCAAAGAAATTTTTATTTTTAGATATTACTGTTAAATAATGCTGATTAAGGTTTTTGCTATGTTTAGCCATGACTATGATGTCATTTTCTATTTTATTATCTGTTATGATGTATTTAAATGGGCTTTTATGGTTACAAAGGAATTTTATTTTTAGATATTACTATAAAATGTTGCTGATGCTGATTAAGGATTTTGTTTATTTTTAGCCATGACTATGATGTCATTTTCTATTTTAATACCTTTATGATGTCATTTCCATTTTTAGATATTACTGTTAAATGATGCTGATTAAGGGTTTTTTGCTATGTTTAGCCATGACAATGATGTCATTTTCTATTTTAATATCTTTATGATGTATTTAAATGGGCTTTTATGGTTACAAAGGAATTTTATTTTTAGATATTACTTTAAATGTTGCTGATTAAGGATTTTTGTTTATTTTTAGCCATGACTATGATGTCACTTTCTATTTTAATACCTTTATGATGTATTTAAATAGGCTCCCATGTATTTAGATTTTTGATTATTTATACATGTTACCAAATTGGTCCACATTGAACAAAAACGGTCCAAATTTCAACTTTATTACATTACATCAAACATTGAATTCTACATATTCTTTGATATATTGAAATTAACAAACAATTTAGTTTATGGATATTCCACCATAATAGGTAAATTAAATTTTTTCCAGTTCTTACACCACATTCATCCTGTGTCAGAAACCTATGCTGTGTCAAATATTTAATGACAATCCAAAGTCATAGCTGTATCAAGCTTGAATTTTGTGTCCATACTTGCCCCAACTGTTCAGGGTTCGACCTCTGCGGTCGTATCAAGCTGCGCCCCAGCGAAGCATTTTATTAAATCAGAATTGACGACTGTTTTTGCTGAAAGTAATTAAATAATGAAAACAGTTGTCATGGAATTTTAATTTCTTTATGGTAATAGTTCTGAGCTTGTTATCACTGATAGATGTGAACTAGATATCATTGAGATGGGAGCCATCTCTGTGGGCCCTGCTGTGAATAATGTGTGGTAACAAATTTGTATCTTTATCATTGGACATGGGGATGTCAACTGAAACCAAAGTTTTTGACCTTGACCTTTGACCTAGGAAGTTGTACATAAATGATGACACACCCTCTGGTGTTGGTTTATATACCTGTCAAGTATAAATTTTGAAATCATAACAGTTCTCAAGATATAGAGCGGACACGATCTTTACCATAGGACATGGGGTTGTCAACTAAAACCAAAGTTTTTTACCTTGACCTTTGACCTAGGAAGTTGTACATACATTATGACACACCCTCTGGTGTTGGTTAATATACATGTCAAGTATAATCTTTGAAATCATAATGGTTCTCTAGATATAGAGCGGACACAATTTGTTACGGATGGACGGACGGACGAACAGACGGACAGACAGACAGACAGACAGACAGACAGACTGATCGCCATTCAGCAGGGCCCTAATTAAAAACACAGGTAAAAAATTATTAGTGATCATTAGCCAATATTTCCCGGAGGCATTAATATAGTTATATGAGGGCCCTCAGGATTATCATACTATACTGGAGTGGCAGTTTTATTACAGGAAAGGGATTACAAAACAAAAACCAGTGCAAAATGGCGAATAAGAAACCCAATCTCAATGAAATGACCGAAATTATTTCTGGAAAAAAATAAAATTTGTCCTAATATAATATAATATAAAATCCCAATATTTCGTTTAGGACAAAAAGCTTTCAGTTTAGGTCATGACTGGCAAATATGACTGTTTCTGGACCTTGGTCATCAGTCATGTGCCTTATGGTACGGGCTGATTAAAAAGTCAATTAACTTCAAAATCATAATATCTACTTACACCAAACTTTATATTTATGGTTAATAATGTTTATTCTTCTTATATATATTTTCTTTGTGCTTCAAAAACACCGTTTTAATGTCCTCAGTGCCAAAACATTGTTCCTAGTGTACTAAGAAGTCCTTTGTGGTATTTCTATGCACCACCATTTGAAAGCCAGAAGATAAATCTGATTTCATTCGTGTTTCATAATCAGCTTGAAAACTTCCAGTTTTTATACGACCGCGGTCGTATATTGGTATGACGTTGTCTAACTTTAGTTTAAGTGAATGGATCTCTTTGAAATTTTACCATAAGGTTCAATACCACAAAAGGAAGGTTGGGATTGATTTTGGGGGTTATGGTACCAACAGTTAAGGAATTAGGGGCCAAAAAGGGGCCAAAAATAAGCATTTTCTAGTTTCCAGACAATAACTGTGGAACGGTGTATGGATCTCTCTGAAATTATACTACAAGTTTCCATACCACAAAGGGATGGTTAGGATTTGCTTTGGGGGGTTATGGCTCAAACCGTTTAGGAATTAGGGGCAAAAAAGGGGGAAAAACAAGGTTGTCCTGGTTAATGGACAAATACTTTAGTACAAAACATAATTTAAAGCAGTGTAAGGGAGGAAAATCAAATACATCATTGAAATTATCTCCCTTACACTGCTTTTAAATTATGTATAAAGTAATGGTTAATGAACAATTAAGATATTTTAAAACAGTGTAAGGGAGGTAATCCAAATACAACGTTTTGGTTACTTCCCTTACACTGCTTTTAAATTATGTTTAAAGAAATGCATATTTATAAAGGAAGACCAGTAAAAATATCTGCAAATGTTGCATCTTTTTTTTTTACAAAAAAATCCATATGAAAGATTTGACACTATATTTTAAATTCTATTATAAAATAGATTAAGTTAGCACTATGGTAAATTTAAATGGGTAATTATGGTTGCAAACTCCATTGGAAATTTGAATTGAGATTATGACCATATCTTGAGGGAAAAAATTTTTTGGGGGGAAAAAAGGGGGGGGGTAAAAAGAAATTGTGGGGGGTCAATTTTTCTCATTTCAGATTTCAGAAATTAAAAAGAATTATTCTTCAAATATTTTTTTTTTTCTTCAAATTTCAAATATTGAAAAATTTCAAGAAGTAATCTTTAATTGCACAGTATGGCGCTTTAGATTTGTAAAATCTGTGACCACATTTATTTATTTGTTATGCCGAATCTAACCGTGTTTTTAGATTTTTAATTTTGGGTCCAGTTTTCAAATTGGTCTACATTAAGGTCCAAAGGGTCCAAAATTAAACTTTGTTTGATTTCAACAAAAATTGAATATATGGGGTTCTTTGATATGCTGAATCTAACCATGTATTTAGATTTTTTATTTGTGGACCCCGCTATCAAATTGGTTCATATTGAGGTCAAAAGGGTCCAAAATAAAACTTCGTTTGATTTCATCAAAAACTGAATTATTGGGGTTCTTTGATATGCCAAATATAACCATGTATTTAGATTTTTAATTTTGGGTCCTGTTTTTTAAATTGGTCTACATTAAGGTCCAAAGGGTCCAAAATTAAAGTTAGTTTGATTTTAACAAAAATTGAATTCTTGGGGTTCTATGATATGCTGAATCTAAACATGTGTTTAGATTTTTGATTATGGGCCCAGTTTTCAAGTTGGTCCAAGTTGGGGTCCAAAATTAAACTTTGTTTGATTTCAACAAAAATTGAATATATGGGGTTCTTTGATATGCTGAATCTAAACATGTATTTAGATTTTAGATTTTTGGCCCAGTTTTCAAGTTGGTCCATGTTGGGGTCCAAAATTAAACTTCTTGATTTCAACAAAAATTGAATTCTTGGGGTTCTTTGATATGCTGAATCTAACCATGTATTTAGATTTTTTATTTGTGGGCCCGCTATCAGATAGGTTCATATTGAGGTCAAAAGGGTCCAAAATTAAACTTTGTTTGATTTCATCAAAAATTGTCCTAATGGGGTTCTTTGATATGCCAAATCTAACCGTGTTTTTAGATTTTTAATTTTGGGTCCCGTTTTTTAAATTGGTCCAATTAAGGTCCAAAGGGTCCAAAATTAAACTTAGTTTGATTTTAACAAAAATTGAATTCTGGGGGTTCTTTGATATGCTGATTCTAAACATGTGTTTAGATTTTTGATTATGGGCCCAGTTTTCAAGTTGGGCCAAGTTGGGGTTCAAAATTAAACTTTTTTTGATTTCAACAAAAATTGAATATATGGGGTTCTTTGATATGCTGAATCTAACCATGTATTTAGATTTTTTATTTGTGGGCCCCACTTATCAAATTGGTTCATATTGAGGTCAAAAGGGTCCAAAATTAAACTTTGTTTGATTTCATCAAAAATTGAATTATTGGGGTTCTTTGATATTCCAAATCTAACCGTGTATTAAGATTTTTAATTTTGGGTCCTGTTTTTTAAATTGGTCTACATTAAGGTCCAAAGGGTCCAAAATTAAACTTTGTTTGATTTCAACAAAAATTGAATATATGTGGTTCTTTGATATGCTGAATCTAACCATGTATTTAGATTTTTTATTTGTGGACCCCGCTATCAAATTGGTTCATATTGAGGTCAAAAGGGTCCAAAATAAAACTTCGTTTGATTTCATCAAAAACTGAATTATTGGGGTTCTTTGATATGCCAAATATAACCATGTATTTAGATTTTTAATTTTGGGTCCTGTTTTTTAAATTGGTCTACATTAAGGTCCAAAGGGTCCAAAATTAAAGTTAGTTTGATTTTAACAAAAATTGAATTCTTGGGGTTCTATGATATGCTGAATCTAAACATGTGTTTAGATTTTTGATTATGGGCCCAGTTTTCAAGTTGGTCCAAGTTGGGGTCCAAAATTAAACTTTGTTTGATTTCAACAAAAATTGAATATATGGGGTTCTTTGATATGCTGAATCTAAACATGTATTTAGATTTTAGATTTTTGGCCCAGTATTCAAGTTGGTCCAAGTTGGGGTCCAAAATTAAACTTTGTTTGATTTCAACAAAAATTGAATTCTTGGGGTTCTTTGATATGCTGAATCTAACCATGTATTTAGATTTTTTATTTGTGGGCCCGCTATCAGATTGGTTCATATTGAGGTCAAAAGGGTCCAAAATTAAACTTTGTTTGATTTCATCAAAAATTGTCCTAATGGGGTTCTTTGATATGCCAAATCTAACCGTGTTTTTAGATTTTTAATTTTGGGTCCCGTTTTTTAAATTGGTCCAATTTAGGTCCAAAGGGTCCAAAATTAAACTTAGTTTGATTTTAACAAAAATTGAATTCTGGGGGTTCTTTGATATGCTGATTCTAAACATGTGTTTAGATTTTTGATTATGGGCCCGGTTTTCAAGTTGGGCCAAGTTGGGGTTCAAAATTAAACTTTTTTTGATTTCAACAAAAATTGAATATATGGGGTTCTTTGATATGCTGAATCTAACCATGTATTTAGATTTTTTATTTGTGGGCCCCACTTATCAAATTGGTTCATATTGAGGTCAAAAGGGTTCAAAATTAAACTTTGTTTGATTTCATCAAAAATTGAATTATTGGGGTTCTTTGATATTCCAAATCTAACCGTGTATTAAGATTTTTAATTTTGGGTCCTGTTTTTTAAATTGGTCTACATTAAGGTCCAAAGGGTCCAAAATTTAACTTAGTTTGATTTTAACAAAAATTGAATTCTTTGGGTTCTTTAATATGCTGAATCTAAACATGTGTTTAGATTTTTGATTATGGGCCCAGTTTTCAAGTTTGTCCAAGTTGGGGTCCAAAATTAAACTTTGTTTGATTTCAACAAAAATTGAATATATGGGGTTCTTTGATATGCTGAATCTAACCATGTATTTTGATTTTGGACATTGGACCATAGTAGGTAAATTAAAAAAATTCAAGTTCTTAGACCACATTCTTTCTGTGTCAGAAACCTATGCTGTGTCAAATATTTAATCACAATCCAAATTCAGAGCTGTATCAAGCTTGAATGTTGTGTCCATACTTGCCCCAACTGTTCAGGGTTCGACCTCTGCGGTCGTATCAAGCTGCGCCCAGCGAAGCATTTTATTCAAAAATGAAAGTAGCATGATTTATTCCTAAGGACTTTGCACTCTTAGACTCATTACAAAACAGTTACAAAATTGTATGCAGTTCATACAGCAAAACCTTTGCTAGAGGTTCGTCTATATAGTGACCTCCAGTATGAATTTGACAGATTAAAATTAAAAGATTTCAGCTCCCTAATTCTAAAATTTGACGGAAATTGTGTGAAAAAATTTCTGGAATCTTTGACCTCATATGTTAATATACCTAGTTATTGACCTATCAAAATTCTTCTGCATAGCTCTGTGACCTGATGACTTGAATGCCTTATTTCCGTCTGGTCAAGTAAGGTCACCCAAGCTGTGCAGTATAACAAACATATACAGACTTGATTGTTCAATAACTATTTCAAAGAAATGAAATTTGTTGCAATTGGCAGAGGACAGGTGGTAAGCCCTTTGTTTTTATTTTTTTTCAATAACATTTAATTAGCTCATATCAAAGTAACTTACTCACATGTTTGTATTTTTTCAGATTGGTTTCAATGCTGAACATTCATGGTAAGTCAACATTATAAAAAATGAATGCATTAGAAGTAGAAGTTTTGAAATTGTTCAAATTTGATTGTTGATTTTCGTATTTTACTCTGGTTAAATATGCTGCCTACTTTATGGAAATTTGTAGTAAGCTTTTCAAAATTTAAGCTGTTTTTAATAGCAAAAATGTGTAGATTTTTCCCATTTGGAAAGTGAATATATATGAATAATCCTTTTTAAGAATGTTTTAGTCAAGCCTCTGGTTTCTGCTCATTCTGACAAAAGCCATGGTGCCAGGGTAGTGATTTTAGTTGGTTGAGTTGGTTGACCCCCAGTTTTTGGTGGGGTTCGTGTTGCTTAGTCTTTAGTTTTCTATGTTGTGTCATCTGTACTATTATTTGTCTGTTTGTCTTTTTATTTTTTTGCCATTGCGTTGTCAGTTTATTTTCGATCTATGAGTTTGACTGTCCCTCTGGTATCTTTCGTCCCTCTTTAGTTGATTGAAATGTACAAATTAGTGTAATTTAATCAATCACCATTAGGATATTTATGTTATTTGTTTGACAGATCAATGTAATCCATCATCATTTGGGTAGTCATTTAAGTTGATGGAAATGTACATATATACACTAATGAGATAGGAACCCAACAACACACAAACCAGAAAAGACATCTATAGGTTAACATGGTCTTTAACAATAGGGAAAGTGTCAATCAGGGCTTCCAAAATTATTTTTAGCCAGCCGGACATTTTATACATTATCCCGATTTTAATCCCTTAAGACTAAATAAACAAAAGGAAATTATGGTAATCAGTTGCCGAGTTGGCCATCCCAATGATTGATATTTAAAAAAAAACGATATTAAACTTTCTTTGATTCAAATTCGAAGTTCTGACGTAAACTGTTAAATTGGTAGTGCATCATCCGAAGTGTGCAACATCAGCGTACTTATATCTGCCTTAGACTCTTTATTTGTGCAAAATAACGTTGTCAAAAACTTTACTTTCGTTTTTAAATCTGAAACCGGATGTTATCTTGACAATGGTAAAACATGGACCAGAGACGGATACGTAAATTCCGTGTACGTTTGCAAAGCATGAATGAGTGTAAGTAGCTCATTCTACGTTATTTCTTCCAGAAAATATTCGAAATAAACGTGAGATAAAGGTATCAATGACAATTTAAGAATTTTTTAAAGAAATTAGGATGCATAATTAAATTTCACACCTGCGCACATGCACATGCGCACACGTGTACTAGTTCAAACAAAGACATGTCTCTGGTTCAAACAACGTGGTTATGACGATTTTTCATTTTCACCTCTTTAATTTTTTCATGAAATCTTATTTGTAAATGTATTTCTGATAATTTAAATCTTTTTGACTATTAAAATTAATTAAATGCAAACCGGTGAAATGTAAGAAAATAACTTTGAATAGACCGATCAATGTCCGGTTCAAAATAGTTTACCTGTCACCTGAACAGGTAAATTTCAGCTGTTTGACAACTAATTAGCCTTGATTAAAATGAGAAGGTATTAAAGTAGGGGTTGTTTTGATAGTACTTAATGATCATGTCACTTTTATGACCGGAAATGTGTGGCTGTTAAAGGCAAACGGTTGGGTCAAAAAGATCGCGAATTATGTTAAAATGACCGTCTCTTAAAAAAAGCCTTGAAATCTAAAAAGTAGATGACCGTTTCGTGCTTTGCCCAGCCGGACTTTTACCAGACATTATACAAATGTCCGGAATATATGACCATTTTGGAAGCCTTGGTGTCAATACCATATGTCAAGCTCTAAGTTGTCCCAAGTCTAGACAAATTTTGAATGGGTGAGACTGACTAGCATAGATCTACAATCAACACCAAATTCTTTGAAGAAAAAAACCCATAGATTTACAACTAGAGACAACCACTGACAAGAACAATTTATAATACTGGTACTAAAATTTAGTCAATTTACTGAATAGACATCATATGATATGAGCAAGGATCCAGAAATGTTTTCATACAATTTTGGTAATTTTGAGAAGACTTGAAAGTTGGGGTCCAAATTTATACGACTGCAAAAAATTTTGTGGTCGTATATTGGTATGACGTTGGCGTCGTCGTCGTTGTCCGAAGACACATTGGTTTTCGCACTCTAACTTTAGTTTAAGTGAATGGATCTCTATGAAATTTTACCATAAGGTTCAATACCACAAAAGGACGGTTGGGATTGATTTTGGGTTTTAAGAACCAACAGTTAAGGAATTAGGGGCTAAAAACTTGAAAAAGGGGCCAAAAACAAGCATTTTTGTAACTTCCAGACATTACTTGTGTGTTAGTGTATGGATCTCTCTGACATAATGTACCACAAGGTTCCATATCACAAAGGGAAAGCTGGGATTGATTTTGGGGGTAATTGCCTCAAAATTTTAGGAATTAGGGGCCAGAAAAGGGGCAAAAAACATGCATTTTTCTAGTTTCATGATAATAACTTGTGTTCAAGTGTATGGATCTCTCTGAAATTGTACTGCAAGGTACCATACCACAAAGGGAAGGCTGGGATTGATTTTGGGGGTAATTGCCTTAAAGTTTTAGGAATTACAGGACAATAACTTGTGTGTAAGTGTATGGATCTTTATGAAATTGTACTACAAGGTTCCATATCACAAAGGGAAAGCTGGGTTTGAGTTTGGGGGTAATTGCATTAAACGTTTAGGAATTTGGGGCCAAAAAGGGTCCAAAAAGCAAGCATTTTTCTAGTTTCCAGACAATAACTTGTGTTCAAGTGTATGGATCTCTCTGAAATTGTACTGGCTGGGATTGAGTTTGGGGGTTATGAATCATAAGGGGGTTCAAAAAATTTGGGGGAGGGATTTTTTTTTCTTTAAAATTTTCCTTTTTAAATTGGTTATTTCTGATTTATATATAAAAGCAAATAATAATGATATGGTTTGAATAGGTAAATTAAAATTTTTTAAAGTTCTTAGACCACATTCATTCTGTGTCAGAAACCTATGCTGTGTCAAATATTTAATCACAATCCAAATGCAGTGCTGTATCAAGCTTGAATGTTGTGTCCATACTTGCCCCAGCTGTTCAGGGTTCGACCTCTGCGGTCGTATCAAGCCCAGCGAAGCATTTTATTTCAAACTGTCTAAATTATTCATTGATTCATGGCATCAACTAACTTGTACTGACAGTTTCATTGCATTTACTTCATCAAGTTTCTTACCATTTTTCTAAAAACATTCAAGAACACGGTATGGAAAGCAACAGTTTAAAATTGAAATTATTTTTATGACTTAAAACGGTTAATTTCTCAGGAAATGCTATCACTTCTTTCAATTTTGAAGTTGAAAATAAAAACCTAAAGTTTCAAGTTAATACTAAATTACTGAGGATTCTGGATTCATTTACGTGATTATCAAATGACAGCAAATCATTGTAGATATTTTATTACCTGTAAAAGTGTTTGAATATAACTTATAATAGTTTCACTCTTTTCATCTAGCATGAAATCATTTTGCATTTTATGCTTAAGTGTTTAATATGAAGAAGACAATTTCATGCATGCGTATTTCATAGTTAGTAAAGCACACGTTTGACTCATGCTAAATTACCCCTTTCCACGTAATTCAAAAATGGCCGAACAGTTTAGGAAAAAGGGGCCAAAAACAATACTTTTCTAATACTTTGTATAAGTTGCGTATTTCTTGACCAATTCAACGGGGTTTAATTCAAAGGCAGGAAATTATTGGGGTTTTTTGATATGCTGAATCTAACCATGTATTTAGATTTTGGATAATGCCAGGGCCCCGTTTTTAAATTGGTCCAAAGGGTCCAAAATTAAACTTTTTCCATTTAAAAAAAATCATTGAATCAGAACTGGCGATTGTTTTGTCTGAAATGTTATTAAATAAAGAAGTGATTTTATTACGTATTATGGTATACCGTTGTCCGTCCGTCGTCAACATGTCGGACATTAACTCAAAAACTCTTTAACCAATTTGCATAAAACTTTAGTGAATTGTTTTTATCTATTGACATGAGCGCCCTTTCGATTTTTATAAATTTAAGATTTTACGTTTCCGAGTTACAGGGTTTTATTCATAAAAAAAGGGGGATTTTCCAGTTTTCAGACAAAAACTCAAAAAATGCTTTCAGCAGTTCTTTTGAAACTTTGGTGAATTGTTTATATCTAGTGATGTAAGCTCCCTTTAGAATTTTATAAATTTTACATTTTACATTTTTGAGTTATGGGGTTTTATTCATTAGAGGGGGGATTTTCCAGTTTTTGGACAATAACTCAAAAATGCTGTCAGCAATTCTCATGAAACTTTGGTGAATTGTTTATATCTATTGATGTAAGCTCCTTTTTGATTTTCATAAAATTCTAATATGACATTGAGAATTAATTGAACTTTATTTGTTTATAGTCTGAGAACAGATTTACTAAGTATTGCGCAATAGCACAGTGTATTGCACAACAGCAAGAAATCTTTAATTGAATATAAATTCAATTCATATAACCAATTTCAAGTTCTTTGACTACAATAATTCAGAAACCTATATGTCAAATATTTAATCACAATCCAAATTCAGACCTGTATCAAGCTTGAATATTGTGTCCATTTTTGTCCCAACTGTTCAGGGTTGGACCTCTGTGGGCGTATCCAGCTGCGCTCAGCGAAGCAGTGTTTTATAGCCGTATAATGTGATGGTGTTGTCGTTGTCGGCATCGTCCTCTTAAGAAGACATTTGGGTTTCGAGACAATGACTTAAGTATAATTGTATGGCCCAAACCGTTTAAGAATTAGGGGTAAACAAACTAGGATTTTCTGGTTTCTGGACAACAACTTGAGTATAAGTCCATATATGGATCTCTATGAAATTGTGTCACAAGGTTCCATACCAAAAAAAAAACCTTGGGATTGATTTTGGGGGTTATGGCCCTAATAGTTTAGGAAAAAGGGGCCAGATTTGAAAATTGAAATCACTTTTGTTGAATGGTGATCTTTTTCTTATAAAACATCTTATGATAAGAGATAGTTATAATTTATTGGAAGAATCATTATAAATTATGATATATATTTTTGTTGTTAGATTTTTTTCTAATAGAGTCTGTAAGATTTTAACAACAGCTGTTTTGTTCCTTGCTTTGTGATGTTTATAATACCTCTAGTGTTTAATAGTTTTTGGTATACCTGTGTTGTAGTTTAAAAATAAACTACTAGTTGCTTTTGTATAAATTTAAAAAAAAAATGAAATTGTAAAAATTGTTTTTTAAATACATAATAAATAGATAGTTAAACATACATGGTAATTTGAATGAATGGAGAATGACTGTTGAAGTTAAACTTTACTACAAACAGGGCGGATGCACCAATTATGGCCCATCTCTGGGAGTTTTCCTTGAGTGAAGAATTCCAGATGGGGTATGACTTTTGCAATTTTATTTATTTTTTGCAACATATGTTTTAAGCTACTGTTTTGATTGAACAAATAATGATTTTTTTTTTTTCAATAATTATAATAAAAACAAATCAGATGAAGATTTCTAATATAGATAGTAGTATAGAAACTATTTGGTTTTTTCAGAAAAGTAGCCTTTAGCAAATGCTGCTAGTTGTATAATATTTCTTTTTAATTTGTCTAACATTAACATGCATATCAAATATGCCTGCAATTAAGACCTGAAGCTCTATAAATATCAGATTTAATATCTGAAACTATATTTGATATCTATTTTCTCAACTTTAGCATGATTTCCTGTTCTCATTTCTAAATACCACCAGTCAACATAATTAATCATCTATATCACTATTCTAAAACAGTAGTGATTTCTTTTGTGCAAACAATATTTTATTCAGTAAACCACAGAATTCAGCAAGACTAATAGACACAAATGTTCAGAAACAGCATCTCCAAAAGACAATATTAATTGCATTAAGACAAGTAAGCAGTTATAATTTGACACAGAATGTCAACTACTGAAACAAATAAGATATCGAAATCATTCAAGTGGGGAAAATATTTAAAATTTGGTTATCAGAGCTTCAAAAAATGTGGGTTATGGAAGTTTGCAAAATGTGATGAATTGTGTACTTCAGAATAGAAAATAAACTACACAGTTTTGCTACATATCTTTTAATCTAGATTACAGATTGTAATATGTTTGAATACAAAAGGTGCTAGATAGTCACAATTTAACATATTTTGCAACGGCAAGAAGCAAAGGGAGCATGGCTTTTACTTGCAGGTGTGTTTTGGTGCTTCTAACAGCATGTGTTGTGTTTTTTTGTACTTAGTACCCAGCATTGATATAGTATAGTTGTAGTTAATTTGAAGTTGTATACAGTTATAGAAAAAAAAAGTTCAATGTCTGGGTGTTTAGTACAAAAGCTGTGGGATATTTTACTTTTCTTGCAAATAAATGTCCCATACATATTATGTAAACAGGGCTGATGCACCTATCATGGGACACCTGTGGGAAGTAGTTACAGCTGATGACAGAGACTATGGGTAAATACAGTTCTCTATTCTTATGAAACACTAGTCACCTGTAATTACAAAATGCTGATACAATGGAAGAGGTCTTTTCTTTTAGATTATGATAATTGACATGATTGAGTGATTTATTTTCTGACCAGAAAATTGCCATCATTTTGTGTCTGTCATCTTTAAAGAGGCATTAGCTGCCAAATTCATGTCCACTGAAGTGACTCAAACTTTAAAATTTTATTTATAACATACAGTAAGGATATCAGAATTACAACATTTCCATACAATAAACGATGCATGAAATCATAAACATTATCAATATTTTAGGACTGTACTCCATCGAATTTACAATCTACATGACCTCCGAGAGGATAGTTAATAGGTTTAAAACTTGTGATATAAATATAAACAGTTAAATATATCTTTTCATGTGCATAGTATCATAGTATAATGACAATGTTTCTGTTTGATTTCATATTCTTTTCAATAACTGAACATGCTAAGCACATATGCAATCATCTTCAACTGGGGTGAAGTAATAAGTTGCATGCAAATGGATTTAATGAGGTGGAATTATTGTCTATTGGAATCATAGCTAATGCTCCTTTTAGAATTTATTAGGACTTGTTTTGCAACTGCATAATGGTATGGCAGCCGTCATCCGAAAACATTTGGTTTCCAGACAATAACGACTATAAGTGTATGGATCTCTATGAAATTGTATCACAAGGTTCCATAAGACAAAGGGAAGGTGTGGATTGATAATGAGGGTTATAGCCCTAACCCTTAAGAATTTTTGGCCAAAAATAGACCTGAAAAGCAAACATTTTTTCTGGTTTCCAGACAACAACTTGAGTATAAGTGTATGGATTTGTATGAAATTGTACCACAAGGTTCCATAGCACAAAGGGAAGGTTGGATTGAATTTGGGGGTTATGGCCATATATCAGCTTAGGAATTAGGGGCCAAAAAGGGGTAAAAAACAAGCTATTTTTATACGACCGCAAAAATTTGGCGGTCGTATATTGGTATGACGTTGGCGTCGTCGTCATCCGAAGACACATTAGTTTTCGCACTATAACTTTAGTTTAAGTGAATGGATCTCTATGAAATTTTACCATAAGGTTCAATACCACAAAAAGAAGGTCGGGATTGATTTTGGGGGTTATGGTACCAATACTTAAGGAATTAGGGGCCAAAAAGGGGCCAAAAATAAGCATTTTTGTAACTTCCAGACAATAACTTGTGTGTAAGTGTATGGATCTCTCTGACATTGTACCACAAAGTTCCATATTACAAAGGGAATGCTGGGATTGATTTTGAGAGTAATTGCTTCAAAATTTTAGGAATTAGGGGCCAAAAAAGGGGCAAGAAACAAGCTTTTTTCTAGTTTCATGACAATAACTTGTGTGTAAGTGTTTGGATATTTCTGAAATTGTACTACAAGGTTCCATATCACAAAGGGAAAGCTGGAATTGATTTTGGGGGTAATTGCCCGAAACGTTTAGGAATTGGGGGCCAAAAAGGGGCCAAAAATAAGCATTTTTCTAGTTTCCAGACAATAACTTGTGTTCAGGTGTATGGATCTCTCTGAAATTGTACTTCAAGGTACCATACCACAAAGGGAAGGCTGGGATTGATTTTGATGGTAATTGCCTCAATATTTTAGGAATTAGGGGCCAAAAAGGGGCAAAAAACAAGCATTTTTCTAGTTTCAGGACAATAACTTGTGTGTAAGTGTATGGATCTTTCTTAAATTGTACTACAAGGTTCCATATCACAAAGGGAAAGCTGGGTTTGAGTTTGAGGGTAATTGCCCTAAATGTTTAGGAATTTGGGGCCAAAAAACACATTTTTCTAGTTTCCAGACAATTACTTGTGTTCAAGTGTATGGATCTCTCTGAAATTGTACTGCAAGGTACCATACCACAAAGGGAAGGCTGGGATTGAGTTTGGGGGTGATGAATCATAAGGGGGTTCAAAAAATTTGGGGGGAGGGAATTTTTTTTCCTTTTTTTTTCTTTAAAATTTTCCATTTTAAATTGGTTATTTCTGATTTATATTTAAAAGCAAATAATAATGATATGGTAGGAGATACACACCAAACAGGATGTGTAAATTATTATATAATAAGTATTGTGCAATAGCAAGAAATTTTCAATTGCATAGTATTGCACAATAGCAAGAAATCTTCAATTGTACAGTATTGCGCAATAGCAAGAAATTTTCAATTGCACAGTATTGCGCAATAGCAAGAAATATCCAATAGCACAATATTGCGCAATAGTAAGAAATTGTCAATGGTACAGTATTGAGCAATAGCAAGAAATATTCAATGCACAGTATTGTGCAAAAGAAGATACTTCGTATAAATTGCTTATTTCTTGACCAATTTCAATGGGGTTTTATTCTTGAATTCTTGGGGTTCTTTAATATGCTGAATCTAACCGTGTATTAAGTTTTTGGATTTTGGGCCCCGTTTTTAAATTGGTCCACATTGAGGTCCAAAGGGTCCAAAATTAAACTTTTGTTTGATTTCATCAAAAATTGAATTATTGGGGTTCTTTGATATGCCAAATCTAACCGTGTATTTAGATTCTTAATTTTTGGTTCCGTTTTCAAATTGGTCTACATTAAGGTCCAAAGGTTCCAAAATTAAACTTAGTTTGATTTTAACAAAAATTGAATTCTTAGGGTTCTTTGATATGCTGAATCTAAACATGTATTTAGATTTTTGATTATGGGCCCAGTTTTCAAGTTGGTCCAAATCGGGGTCCAAAATTAAACTTTGTTTGATTTCAACAAAAATTGAATATATGGGGTTCTTTGATATGCTGATTCTAACCATGTATTTAGATTTTTGATTTTTGGGCCCCGTTATCAACTTTGTCCACATTGAGGTCAAAAGGGTCCAAAATTAAACTTTGTTTGATTTCATCAAAAATTGAATTCTTGGGGTTCTTTGATATGCTGAATCTAACCATTATTTAGATTTTGGATATTGGACCATAATAGGTGAATGTCCAATTTAAAATTTTTAAGTTCTTAGACCACATTGATTCTGTGTCAGAAACCTATGCTGTGTCAAATATTTAATCACAATCCAAATTCAGAGCTGTATCAAGCTTGAATGTTGTGTCCATACTTGCCCCAACTGTTCAGGGTTTGACCTCTGCGGTCATATCAAGCTGCGCCCTGCGGAGCATTTTATTTAAACTTTGTTTGAAAATGACTTATATATTCAAACAATTATAAACAATTTATTTGTGTGTTTTTGTACTGTTACTTTTTGTCCTATCAAATTTGTGACTTTCTGTCCTCTGACATTCTGTCCGCTTACCTACTTTAATACTTTTTAGATTAAAAATAAGAAAATGGATTTGAAATAAGAAAATAGCCTAAAATTAAGTTCTATACTACATTGAAGTAAAAGACTGATTATCTAAACAAAAAACAAACCCATGCATCTTATTATGAATATAAAATTTCCATCTATATGTATTAAAATAGCTGAACACATTATTCTACCTTTTTGATATATATTTTTTTCTATGAGGAAACTTCCAACATTGTAATGAAATACTCAAATATGACACAATACTGGGTAAAAATAAACCACAAATGTTAAGTCAGTATATCAGCAAAAATGTGCAAAACGAGGAGCAAAAGACCTAAAATAAAAAGAAGTGATTGATGCAATGGTCCATGTCAATGCAAAAACTTTTATCACCACTCTCTTTTGTTGAAAACCCAATCTTCAAGAATTTTAAAACATTTTAGATTCTCAGACGACTAGGTTAGAGCTTGCATCTGGAAAACAACTTTCAACATAACATTTGGAAAAAAAGGGATGTAAATTTGATTGGTTACGTGAAATTTTGTCTGTAGTACTGGACAGGAGAAAACTTTACTCATGCCAAGTATTTCTTTATAT